CTCCCTCCCTCTGTCTCCCTCTCCCTCTCCAACCCCACCAACTGTGCCTTTCAAATAAACTGAATAAATCTTTTTTTAAAAAATGGCCTAAGTACTTGGATAGACATTTCTTCAAAGAAGACATAGAAATGGCCAACAAGCATAAGAAAAGATGCTCAACATCACTAGTTGTTAAAGTTGCACAAAGCCAAACCAAGAGGAGTTATCACTTAACACTCATTAGAATGGCTAGTATAAAATGGCTAGTATTAAAAAAAAACCAGAAAATAAAAAATGAATTAAAGTGGTGCAGCTGCCAATGGTAAACACCATAATAGTTCCTGAGAAAATTAAAAAAATTCAATCTCATATAGTTAAGCAATTCTAAATCTAAGTATATACACAGACAATTTGAAAGCAAGGTCTGGAAGAGATTTATATACCCATATTCATAGCAGTATTTTTCATGAGAGCTAAAAAGGAGCAACCATTTCCATCAATCAATGAATGGATAAGCAAAATGTGGGATATACATACACGAATGGAGTATTGTTGAGCCTTAAAAAGGAAGGAAATTCTGACATATGCTATCATATGGGTGACCTTAAGGGTATTATGCTAAGTGAAATAAACCTTACAAAAAAGACAATGTGGTTTCAATTGCATGAGTTATCTGAAGTAGTCAAACTCACAGGAACAGAAAGGAGGTCGGTGGTTATCAGGGGCTGGGAGAAGGGGTAAACAGCGAGTCATTGGTGAACATCCATGAAAAAGGTCTGGAGATTGGTTTGCATAGCCAATGTGAGCATACCTAACACTAGTGTACACTTACAAGTGGAAAGTGGAAGGGCGGCAAAAGATGGGAAACTTAATGTGACGTGTATTTTATCGCGATTCTTTAAAATGTTGCTCTTATATAGCAACATTTGTTAATTTAAATCATGTTCAGGAGATAATTCACTTCTCCCATAACTGATAAGATTGTTTGACCACTCACTTTTGATTGTTCACTCTAAATATACATACTGTGTTTTCTGTATTACGCATCATTTTGTTGAATCAGGTTTGAATCCAATTCTTGTTAACATTTAAACTGCAAACAGAAATCAAAATGATCACGTCATCTGATTTGAAGTAAAAGGGAGCACAGTGAGTTATATTCTTCTAGGGAACAAACCAGTATCTGAAAGAATGATACTTTATACGGTGCTTTAACTCTTGCTAATATGCAGAATGCACTTTTTTTTTTTAAAGCCTAATAGGTAAGTAGAGAAATGGGAACAAATGGACATTTCAGATATGGATCCAAATACATATGGATTAGTATATGACAAAAGAAATGATTTTCACTTGTCCGTAAAGAGTGGGTTACATATTATTCATGCTGGAATAACTTGACATTTATGGAATAAAACAAAGCCAGCCTCTTTTCTTATGCCTTGTACAAAGTAATGTATAGGTGAATTACTATTTTAAATAAAACAGTAAAATGAGAAGAAAATGTAGGATATTATTTCTTTTTTTTTCTTTTTTTTCTTTTTTTTTTTTTACAGGCAGAGTAGACAGTGAGAGAGAGAGACAGAGAAGAAGGTCTTCCTTTTGCCATTGGCTCACCCTCCAATGGCCGCCGCGCTGCGGCCGGCGCACCGCACTGATCCAATGGCAGGAGCCAGGTGCTTCTCCTGGTCTCCCATGGGGTGCAGGGCCCAAGCACTTGGGCCATCCTCCACTGCACTCCCGGGCCACAGCAGAGAGCTGGCCTGGAAGAGGGGCAACCGGGACAGAATCCGGCGCCCCGACCGGGACTAGAACCTGGTGTGCCGGCGCCGCAAGGCGGAGGATTAGCCTAGTGAGCCGCAGCACCGGCCTAGGATATTATTTCATAATCATTAAACAGGGAAGACTTTATATAAGACAGGAGATCCAAAGTCACAACTCACATAAACATTGGCACATTCAACTCCATGAAAATTTAAAAATTTGGGGGTGGGTTTTTGATGCCGTTTGGGATGCCAGCATTTGAGTCCTGGCTCTGCTCCTGGTTCCAGCTTCCTGCTGATGCACACGCTGGAAGCCAGCAGTAATGGCTCAAGTAGTTGGGTCCCTAACATCCATGTGGGAGACCTGGCTGGAATTTCTAGCTCATGGCTTTGGAGTGGTCCAGCCCTGGCTGTTGCAGTCATTTGGGGAGTGAACCAGTGGATGGATGATCACCCCCTGTCTCTGACTGTCTTTCCTTGTATCTCTGCCTTTCAAATAAATAAATAAAAACAAGTAAAATTAACACATTTTTTTAAAAAAAGATTTATTTTATTTATTTGAAAGACAGAGTTACAGAGAGGGGTAGAGATGGAGCAAGACCACTGGTTCACTCCCCAGATGGCCGCAATGGCCGGAGCTGTGCCGATCCAAAGCCAGGAGCCAGGAGCTTCTTCCGGGTCTCCCACATGGGTGCAGGGGCCCAAGGACTTGGGCCATCATCTACTGCTTTCCCAGGCCATAGCAGAGAGCTGGATGGGAAAACAAGCAGCCAGGATTTGAACCGGCGCCCATACGGGATGCTGGTGCTGTAGGCGGTGGCTTTACCTGCTATGCCACAGTGCAGCCCCAAGGCTGGGTTTTAATGAATACATTCATTGGCCTAAATAAGAAATACCACGTTTTATTTTCCTTGAAAGTGGAGTCATTCTCCAGGGGGAAAGGACTCACAACTTCCACAAAACTATTTCCTAATTTTGTTCTCCAAGAGACCATAGGCATTTGTTCAACTACTCAAGGAGAAGTGACTTTAAGCAGTAACCAAACTAAATCATAAGAAATCCATTTCTGGGGGGTTAGTATTTGGCCTAGCAGTGAAGATGCCTGTGACCCATATCCAAGTACCTGGGTTCAATTCCAGACTCTGTTTTCCAGTTCAAGCTTTCTGCTCATGCAGACTCTGGGAGACAATGGTGATGGCTCACGTACAAGACCTGGACAGAGTTCCCAGTTCCTGGCTCCTTGGCCCTTGTGGACATTTGGGTAGTGAACAAGCAGTTGGGAGCTCTTTCTGTCTGTTTGTCTCTCTGCCTCTTGAATAAATGTTTCAAAAGTGTTTTCAAAAAAGTTTAAAAAGAAATATATTTCTACATCTTATTCCCAAGTGAAGTTGAACTTGACATTTCACAACAGTTGGTTGTTGGTACCACACAAAAACAGACCTTTGACTTTGTTGTATGGCTTACGGTTTCTGTGTCATTCACTTTGACTAGTGTCTTGCTCCCTACTTATTTTAGAATCTTCCTGTCTGCAGGATGGAGAGATTTATTGGAAAAAAAGTAATGTGTTCCATTAAAATTTTGGTATGTTTGGGGCTGGAGCTGTGGCATAGTGGGTAAAGCCGCCACCTGCAGTGCTGGCATCTCATATGGGCACCGGTTGTAGCCCTGGCTGCTCCACTTCCGATCCAGCTCTCTGCTATGGCCTGGGAAAGCAGTAGAAGATGGCCCAAGTGCTTGGATCCCTGCACCCGTGTGGGAGTCCCGGAGGAAGCTCCTGGCTCCTAGCTTTGGACTGGTATAGCTCCAGCCATTGCAGCTATCTGGGGAGTGAACTAGTGGATGGAAGACCTTTCTATGTGCCTCTCCTTCTCACTGTTTGTAACTCTACATCTCAAATGAATAACCAACCCAGCGGGGCGCGGCCTGGGAACCCCTGGAGTCTTCTGACCACCCGCGCTGGCCCGGCTCCTGCCTGGTTCTCCTGCTCTCCCCTGGGTGTAGGGCGAAGGGGGGCCGCCGCCTCCTCCCTCTGCATTGCTGCCTCCTCCTACCCCACCATCTGGGTCCGTCTTTCCCCGGGAACCTGGCTGCCAGAGGCCCGCAGCCACCCCAGTGCCTCCCCTCGCTGCGACCCGAAGGCCACCACTGACCGTTCCTGCTTTAGGGGCTTCCCTCCGGGTCCTGCTGGGAGAGCGCCAGGGCTCGCGCAGCAGGACTGGCACACAGGGGCCACAAGCAGCAGAGACCCTGCCGGGGGGCTCACAGTCACCATCTCTGCTTTATAGGTTTTTTCCTGGACAGTTCCTAGTACAGATGAGAAAGGCTTTAAAAGCTTGCTGGGGACAGCATTTCACCAAGCAATTAAGATGCTCGCATCCCATAGTAGAGTGCCTTGCCTGGGTTCGAGTCTCAGCTCAGGCTCCTGATTCCAGCTTCCTGCTAATGCTGACCCTGGAAGACAGCAGTGATGGCTCATTTAATTGGGCTTCTGCAACCCATGTGGGAAACCTGGAATGACTTCCTGGTGCTTGGCCCACCAGCCCTGCCACATCAGAATTTCCAGGGCACGAGTGTTATCAAATGCTTTCCAAGAAGGGTTGTGCAGGAACCAGGCCAATGTCTTCAGAGCACCGTGCCCCTCCCTCAAACCCACATCCTCCTGCACCTGAAATCTGCACTCAGCTCATCACCTAGGGCTACGGCTCTCACCAGTGGCAGCTCCTGAAAATCGCACAGGGGGCATTTACTAAATGCCAAGGCCTGCACCCCCAATACCCAGAGAGTCGAATTTCATTTCTTTGGAATGCAGCCCAGCTAAGAATACTACAGACCCTTCCCAGGTGAGACCCACAAACCTAATTCCTGCATCCCGCCTCTTGCTTCCTTCCAGTCACCTCGCTGGTTTCCCTGACGCTTGCCTTTGGGGTCCCAGCCACCAACTCCTGTGGCCTTCTGGAGTCCAAACTGGAGACAACTAGTGCACCATGGTGACAGGAGCGCCCAGCGGACGTGCTGTCTGGATGTGCTGTCTCGGTCAAGATTCCCTGGTAGTGAGCCAACACTTACAGAAGGAAGCGGAGGGCCAGTAGGCTACCTGCTGTCATCAGAGTGCAAGGGAGGAGGAAGCCGCAGACCAGCGAGGGAGACCTTGAGCCCCCGGAAGGGTCTCTGCTGCTTGTGGCCCCTCCCTGTGAGTGAGTCCTGCTGCGCGAGCCCTGGCGCTCTCCCAGCAGGACCCGGAGGGAAGCCCCTAAAGCCCGAATGGTCAGTGGTGGCCTTCGGGTCGCAGCGAGGGGAGGCACTGGGGTGGCTGCGGGCCTCTGGCAGCCTGGTTCCCGGGGAAAGATGGACCCAGACGGTGGAGTAGGAGGAGGCAGCAATGCAGAGGGAGGAGGCGGGGCGGGCCCCTTCGCCCTACACCCAGGGGAGGGCAGGAGAACCGGGCAGGAGCCGGGCCAGCGCGGGTGGCCGGAAGACTCCAGGGGTTCCCAGGCCACGCCCCGCTGGGTTGGGGAAGGCGAGGGGCCCAACAGCACCCCGCCGGCGAAGGGCCTGACCCCGTCCTCCGAAGGCCAAGCGGGCCGAGGCTCCACCACCAAGATGAGGCGGGAGCAGCTCCGCCCAGCGGAGCCCCTGGGACCAGAGAGCTCCTGGCGGCGGCCTCGCTCCCCCGCCCCGGCCCGGCCCCAGTCACCCTCGCTGTCGGCCCCGGCCCCAGCCACCCTCGCTCCCCCGCCCCGGCCCCAGCCACCCTCGCTGCCCGCCCCGGCCCCGGCCACCCTCGCTGCCCACCCGGCCACAGCCACCCTCGCTCCCCGCCCCGGCCCCGGCCACCCTCGCTGCCCGCCCCGGCCCCGGCCACCCTCGCTCCCCGCCCCGGCCCCGGCCACCCTCGCTGCCCGCCCCGGCCCCGGCCACCCTCGCTCCCCGCCCGGCCCCGGCCACCCTCGCTCCCCGCCCCGGCCCCGGCCACCCTCGCTCCCCGCCCCGGCCCCGGCCACCCTCGCTGCCCACCCGGCCACAGCCACCCTCGCTCCCCGCCCCGGCCCCGGCCACCCTCGCTGCCCGCCCCGGCCCCGGCCACCCTCGCTCCCGCCCCGGCCCCGGCCACCCTCGCTCCCCGCCCCGGCCCCGGCCACCCTCGCTGCCCGCCCCGGCCCCGGCCACCCTCGCTCCCCGCCCCGGCCCCGGCCACCCTCGCTCCCCGCCCCGGCCCCGGCCACCCTCGCTCCCCGCCCCGGCCCCGGCCACCCTCGCTGCCCGCCCCGGCCCCGGCCACCCTCGCTGCCCGCCCCGGCCCCGGCCACCCTCGCTGCCCACCCGGCCACAGCCACCCTCGCTCCCCGCCCCGGCCCCGGCCACCCTCGCTCCGCGCCGCCGCTCGGCACCCCCGGCCGTGCCCCTCACAGCGTGCGCGTCTCCGAGCCCGCCGCCGGCTGCTGGCAGCTGCAGGAAGACGCCCCGGAACCGCTGCTCCACGTGACGCCGAGGCCTTGGTCGCCCCCTCACCTCCCGCCCGGCCCGGGCCCCTGGCAGCCAGGCCCTAGAGCCCCGCGCGCTCCGCCTCGGCTGTCGTGTGCCCCGGTGACCACCAGATGCCGACAGAGGTCCTGGCAGGACACCGCGCCTCCCCCAGGGCCCTGGGTCCAGTTTGTCCTCTTGGGACGCGGCAAATCGGCGACCAGGACCAATACCTTGCCCTCGCCTCCCCCACTCGCCTTTGATGAGCGGAGGCTGAAAACCACCCGCTGGCACCTGGGCCCTGCTGCCTTTCCAACCGTCTCCCCGCCCGCACCACGCAGCCTCGGTGAACCTTTGCAGGCAGCCCTGCGTGGCGCAGGAGCTGTGCGTGGGCTGGCTCTGGCTGTCCCCGCGGTCCCCATGCCTACCTCCCGTCTCCCCGTGCGTTTGGGGGCTGGGGGTCCAGGTTCTCTGACACCAGCGACTCGGAGTTCTGTAGATTCGGCTAAGGGAGGACGTGGGTCACATCAGAGCGGCTGTGTGACTTAGAGCTCGTTGCTTAACCTCTCTGTGCCTAGATAGCCTCAGATGTGAAGTAAGGGTTGCAATACTCCTTACTTCATGGAGGTATTGTGAGAACAAAACGAACCATTGTTTCTGGAACACTCCTGAGAGTGCCAGCCGCATATTAAGTTCCCAGTGTATGTCAGCCCTCCTAATGTCTCCTGGACCCTCATAGTGAGGCCCGAATAACTGTCTATTTGTCTTGACTTTTCCATCTGGAGCACATTGTATTCTTTATTTAATTAAAAATTTTAAAAATTCATTTTAGGTGAACAAATTTGATGTGTTTCACATATACAGATACAAAGCATAAGGATACTTCCCATCCTGTCCTCCCTCCTGACCGTGGTCCCCCCTTCCTTCTTTTTTCTTTTAATTTTTACAGTGACATACTTTCAGTTTATTTTATAATCACAATCTTAGTCCTCTAGCAAATAAAAAATTCAACAAGCACTGAGTAGAAAAACCACTGTTCCTCAAGGGTATATACAAGAGTTGTTAACAATAATCAAATCTCTGAATGTCAATTTTGCTTATATACATTACATTTTTTGTACTCTGTTTAATAATTACCACAAATGGGACAAATACCACTTGTGCTCCTTGATAGGTGACAACTAACTGAGCACCAAAAAGGAAACATGTTAAAGTGAAATGAACACTATGAGAAACAGTGACTTGATCAGCCCTCACCCTGACTTGTTGATGAGCAACTTAATATGTTATCCCTCTTAGAAATTTTTTTGTTTGTTCTACTTAATACTTTTGGTTGAATACTGTAATCAATACACAATTATTCTTAAGTGCTGAAACTTAACTGGAAAGTGATCACTGTTAAATATAAGAGTGGGAATAAGAGAGGGAAGAGGTGTGCAATTCGGGACATGCTCAAGCTGACTTACCTCAAACGGTAGAGTTAGAAACATACCAGGGGATTCCAATTCAATCCCATCAAGGTGGCATGTACCAATGCCATCTCACTAGTCCCAGTGATCAATTTCTGTTCACAGTTGATCATAATGATAGGACTAAGAACCAAAGGGATCACATAAACAAGAATAGTGTCTGCAAATACTAGCTGATAGAATCAAAAAGGGAGAGAACGATCCAACATGGGAAGTGAGATACACAGCAGACCCATAGAATGGCAGATGTCCTAAACAGCACTTTGGCCTCAGAATCAGCCCTTAAGGCATGCGGATCCGGCTGAAATGCCCATGAGAGTATTTCAGGCATGGAAAGCCAAGACACTCTGGGGAAAAAAAAAAAAAAAAAAACCTAAATGAAAGATCTCTGTGAGTGAGATCCCAGTGGAAAGAACGGGTCATCAAAGAAGGAGGTACCTTTCTCTGAAGGAAGGAGAGAACTTCCACTTTGACCATGGCCTTGTCTAAATATGATCAGAGTCAGTGAACTCAGGGGGCTTCCATAGCCTTGGCAGCTCATGACAAGAGCCTAGGGTGATTACTGAGGCCATAAACAAGAGTGTCAATTTGTTAAGTCAACAACAGGAGTCACTGTGCACTTACTCCTCATGTAGGATCTTTGTCCTTAGTGTGCTGTACATTGAGATTGAATGCTATAACTAGTACTCAAACAGTATTTTTCACTTTATGTTTCTGTGTGGGAGCAAACTGTTGAAATCTTTACTTAATGTAAGCTAAACTGATCTGTATATAAAGAGAATCGAAAATGAATCTTGATGTGAATGGAAGGGGAGAGGGAGTGGGAAAGGGGAGGGTTGCGGGTGGGAGGGATGTTATGGGGGTGGGGGAAGCCATTGTACTCCATAAGCTGTACTTTGGAAATTTATATTCATTAAATAAAAGTTAAAAAAAATAATTACCACAAATGAAGGAAAGCATGACATTTGTCTTTTTGGGATTCGCTTATTTCACTAAGCATAATGATTTCCAGTTGCATCTACTTTGTTGCAGAAGACAGAAGTTCAGGCTTTTTTATGGCTGAGCAGTATTTCACAGTGTTTATATACCACATTTTCTTTATCCAGTCATTAGTTGATGGACATCTCAGTTGATTCCATGTCTTAACTATTGTGAATTGAGCTGCAATAAACATGGGGTATAGAAAATTCTTTCATATGCTGATTTCATTTCATTTGGGTAAATTCCCAGGAGTAGGATGGCTGGGTCATGTGGTAGACCTACTTTCATATTTCCAAGTAATCTCCATCCTGTCTTCTACAATGGCTGTACTAGTTTACATTTCCACCAACAGTGTATTAAGGTCCATTTATTGTTTTTTTTTTTTTTTTATTTCTGTATGATAGCCTTTCTAACTAGTGTTAGGTGAAACCTTATTGTGGCATTCATTTGCATTTCCCTGATGGCTAGTGATCCTGAGCATTCCTGCATTTATAGGCTGTTTGAATTTCATCCTTCGAAAAATGCCTGTGCATGTCCTTTCCCATTTCTTGAATGGACTGTTTTCTTTTGTTGTTGTTGAGTTTCTTGAGGCTTTTTTTTTTTTTTTTTTTTTTGGACAGGCAGAGTTAGTTAGAGAGAGAGAGACAGAGAGAAAGGTCTTTCTTCCGTTGGTTCACCCCCCAAATGGCCACTACGGCCGGCATGCTGCGCCAATCTGAAGCCAGGAGCCAGGTACTTATCCTGGTCTCCCATGGGGTGCAGGGCCCAAGCATTTGGGCCATCCTCCACTGCCTTCCTGGAGCACAGTAGAGAGCTGGACTGGAAGAGGAGCAACCGGGACAGAATCCGGCGCCCCAACCCAGACTAGAACCCAGGGTGCCAGTGCTGCAGGCAGAGGATTAGCCAAGTGAGCTGCGGCGCCGGCCCTCTTGAGATCTCTATAGATTCTGGATATTAATCCTTTCTTGGTTGCATAGTTTGTAAGTATTCTCTCCCATTCTGTCAGCTGTTTATTCGCATTTTTTTTTGACAGGCAGAGTGGACAGTGAGAGAGAGAGACAGAGAGAAAGGTCTTCCTTTGCCGTTGGTTCACCCTCCAATGGCTGCTGCGGCCAGCGCACCGCGCTTATCCGATGGTAGGAGCCAGGTGCTTCTCCTGGTCTCCCATGGGGTGCAGGGCCGAAGCACTTGGGTCATCCCCCACTGCACTCCTTGGCCACAGCAGAGAGCTGGCTTGGAAGAGAGGCAACCGGGACAGAATCCGGCGCCTCGACCGGGACTAGAACCCGGTGTGCCGGCGCCGTAAGGCGGAGGATTAGCCTAGTGAGCCGCGGCAGCGCCGGCTTCTTCGCATTTTTAAGTGTTTTTTTTTTTAAAGGTTTATTTATTTATTTGAAAGGCAAAGTCACAGAGAGGCAGAGGCACAGAGAGAGAGAGAGAGCGAGAGAGAGAGAGAGGTCTTTTATCTATTGGTTCACTCCCCAGATGGCTGCGATGGCTGGAGCTTCGCTGATCTAAAGCCAGGAGCCAGGAGCTTCTTCTTGGCCTCCCACATGGGTGCAGAGGTCCAAGGAATTGGGCCATCTTCTGTTGCTTTCCTAGGTCATAGCATAGAGCTAGATGCAAAGTGGAGCAGCTGGGACTTGAACTGGCACCATATGGGATGCTGGCACAGCAGGTGGTGGTTTTACCCACTACACCACAGTGCCAGCTTCTGTTTCTTCATTTTTGATCGCTTCCTTTGCAATGCAGAAGCTTTTTAGCTTAATGTATTCCCATTTGTCTATTTTTGCTTTTATTGCCTGTGCTTCTGGGATCTTTTCCAAGAAGTTTTTGCTTATGCCTATGTCTTTCAGAGTTTCCTTGATGTTTTCCTCTAGTAGTTTGATAGTATCAGGTCATAGATTTAGATCTTTGATTCATTTTGAGTTGATTTGTTGTGTAAGTTGTAAGGTAGGGGTCTTCTTTCATACATCTAGATCTAGCACCTTTTGTTGAAGAGACTGTTCTTTTTCAGGGATTAATTTTTGCCCATTGCTCAAAGATTAGTTGACTGTAGATGTGTGGATTAATTTCTGAGGCTTCTATTCTGTTCCATTGGTTGAGATATATATTTTTGTAACAGTATCAGGCTTTTTTGTGTTTTCAACTATCAATTCTGTCCCTGGCTTCACCAACTGGCTCTGGCAGTTTCCAACTCCTCTGGGTCCTAGTTCTCTTGCTTGGTGTTGCCTTGGTGTTGCTGTTGTTACTGTGGTCTAGGTTGCAAGAAGACATAATAGTATATTTCTGAAGTCCTAGTCTTCTCTGGGAATATGAGAGAAAGTAGATCCTCATTCCTCCACTTAAAGGTAGCAGCTATAAATATTTGACCCTGGGGGCACAGATTCATGGAATGCGCAGAAAATGATGTCCTGTGACCACTAGCCAAACTTCTCTGGGGGAGTTTTTGTGCCCACTCAAGTACTTAACAATGATTCAGAATTCCTGCAAAAGCTGACCTCTCATACAGAATTGTGTACCAAATTCAGCTTGGCCCAGAAACTTCTTCCTCTAATCTGTCCTGCATCTTCTATCTTATTTTTTAAAAATTGAAATATAATGCACATACCATAAAGTCCATCCTTTTGGATTGCACAATTCCATGGTTTTTGATAGATTCAAAAAGTTTTACAACAATCACCAGTATCTTTCCCAGAAACTTTTTTGTTACTCCTAAAGGAGACCCCATATCCATTCAGAAATCATTCAGCATTCTTCATCCCTACCCCAGCCCATGACAACCCTAATCTTCTGTCTCTATGGATTTATCTATGCTGTGTATTTTGTATCAAGGCATCATACAATATGTGGTCTGAATTCTTCCACTCTGCCTGATGTTTTTAAAATTCACCATTGTAGTAACATGCATCAGTGCTTTTTTCATTCTTTTTTATGAATTATGAATGGATAAGCAAAATGTCATATGCCATTCTTTTTTTGGTCTATAAATATGTAGGACAAATTTAATATTCCTGGATTGATAAAACAAGTCTCTATATGATATATTCTTTCTGTTTCAAGAGCAGAACCATATGTTCTTTCAATCTTGCTCTGTTC